GGGAAAGAAGGACCCAGGGAACTACAAGCTGGTCAGCTTCCCTAGAAAAAAGAAGTGATGGAACAGCTCATCCTGAGTACCATCTCTAAGTATCTCAGGAAAAGGTGATCAGAAGTAGTCAGCACGGATTCACCACAGGGAAATCAACTTGATTTGCTTCTATGTTGGAAAGACTAGCTGGGTAGATGAGGGGAGAGCAGTGGACGTTGCCTAGTTTGACTTCAGCAAGGCTTTTGACGCTGTCTCCCATAACATCCTCGCAGGCAAGCTCAGGAGGTGTGGGGTAGCTGAATGGACAGTGAGGTGGGCTGAGAATCAGCTGAAAGGTGGGGCTCAGTGGTGTAAAGTCTAGCCATGGGTCTGAAGACAGTGACCTCTTGCAGGGGTCAATTCTGGTCACTCCTGTTTAATCTCACTTAACAAAGGCCTGGATGAAGGACAGAGTTCCCCCTTTGCAAGTTGTCTGAGGATGTGAAACTGGGAGGAGTGGCTGATACCACAAAGGGCTGCACTGCCATTCAGAGGGACTAGGACAGGCTGGAGAGATGGGCAGAGAGGAGCCCCATGAAGTTCAGCAGAGGCGACTGCGGGGTCCTGCACCTGRGGAGGAACAAYCCCAGGCATCAGTACAGACCTGGGGGTGACCTGATGGAGAGCAGCTCTGTGGGGAAGGGCCTGGGGGTGCTGGTGGACAACAAGTGTATCATGAGCCAGCAATGTGCCCTTKTGGCCAAGAGGACCAATGGTATCCCGGGGTGCATTAGGAAGAGTGYTGACGGCAGGTTGATGGAGGGGATCCTCCCTGTCAGTCTCCCACCTTGGAGACACTCAAAAGCTGYCTGAAGACAGCCTTTGGAAATGGGCTTCACTTGATCATGCTTGTGCAAGGGGCAGAGCTAGATCTCCAGAGGTCCCTGTGATTCTCCCTCTCCCCGTTTTATATTCTCTCACTAGATCCTTGTCCCGGTCTGAGAACATCAAATTCCAGTACACTCCACACTCTCTCCCTCTTGTTCCAGCCATCCATGTTCTGGCTCTATGGAGCAGTTTTACCTTGGCCAGTCATGCTTTTCCTTCTTTTCTCTTCAGCAACACTGTCTTCCAATCATTCCTCCCGGGGCACCACATGTGTCTAAGGGCCATACTCCCAGGTAGGTACTTCAAGAACCCCATGTACAAGCTCACATCAACCCCCCATGACACTATCTCCAGCACCTCTGCTTTGCTCACTCATCTGCTCCCTTGAGACGGGACCATTTCCAGCATTTCAATGTTCTCATCCACCTCCAGCAATCACCCTTCTGGAGCATCTTTAGGCTGAAGTCACTGCAGAGCCATGCAGACATTTCCAGGCTGGCCTTGTACCAGCTACTTGATCTGCTGTTACCTCAGACAGTGTTCAGCTACAAACCCACCCAAGAAGGTGGCTACATATAGGGAGAATAGGCATGTATCTGTATATAAACCCATGTCCCGTAGACAAAAAAAAAAAAAAACTTTAACCCCCCCCCCCAAAAAAAACAGAAATACACTTGTCAGTGAAATTTCTCTTTCCTTCTTTCAGCAGGCAACTAAGTACTCTCTGAAAATCCATCCTGATTAAAAGTTCAAGGCAAGCACTGCCCTGGTCCTAAATCTATAATAAATTTGAGATTTGATATTGTGTAATATAGTACAGCTACAAATGAAAATTTGCACTGTTGGAAAGAGGAGAGAATTGGGTTTTCCATGGTGCACAGAATTCTTTTTTCAAATCTGGGTAGTTTCCATCATAAGAAAGAGATCATAAAAGTGCAATATAATTAGAAAATAAAGATAACACTGAGGACTGAAAATTACAATGTTTTTCCATCTCTTTTTCACCCCTCATGTTGGGCTTTTTTGCTCCTGAAATGTTGCATGACATTTTTAGGTCCCTAAAACATACCCAAGAGCTTTTCCACATAAATACAACATATTCCACATATACAAATAAAATGCATGTGGATATATTTTTAATTTGTGCTGTATTACAAAGAGTGACCTTATTCAAAACTGYTTAATGTGCTGCCTTCTGGCACAGGGATGCACATGAAAGATAGTARGATACAGATTGGATGATTTGCCTTTGCAGCACCCCGATCTCCAGCATGAAAAAGTCATGCCGCTCAGAGTCGTAAGTTTTACTTAGCATTCATTAATTCTCTAAAGAAAATAATAAATTAGGGTGACTTTATAACTGCTTCCTGAACACTTAGGGAATGGTCACTCCATGTTTTTCAGATTTTCCTCTGCAAGCATGTGCTTTTAGAGTTTCCTAGAGTCTTTGCTTGTGGTTAGTGCCTCGAGGCAAAAGCCAACTCTTGCGAGCTTCAAGATAGCTCATACCTGGTGAACACATTAAATAAATATGGAAGTCAGGGTGTTAGGAACTCTTGCAAAGATACAGGAGGCTGCAGATGGGTGCAGCGGACAGCTCGTGAATGTGTGTGTTTAACTACACGTAGGCAGAATGCRTGAGACCAGGCGCCCATGTGAGTGTGACACTGACACAGGTGCATCTGTGTGCATAAGGAGAGACACCTTCAAGCTTATATCCAGGAAATACATATAGGATTGTCTGGGTGAGTTTATTAGACCTCATGAGCAAGTGTTTCTATGTGCATGAGCAGATATGTAAGTGGCCTARGGCTCAGTCTTATGTTTGTGGGGTCTAGAGGTGCAACACTGAAGTACATGMGTGTATGTGACTCAGAAATCACAGAAGGGAGGGTTTATGGGCCATGTGCAGATCTGTGTATGTGGGGCTTGGATGGTGAGTGTAGTGGGAAGTTAGTATGAATGATGAATGTAAATGTATGGGCAGCTGAGAGTCACATATTGGCATCTGAAAGGGGTAATAGAAATTTGGGACTTGGGRACACCTGCTCTAGGTGTCCCTGCTGGAGCAGGAAGGTTGGMCTAGATGATCTCTAGAGGTCCCTTCCAACCTTGAACATTCTGTGATTCTGTGACTTGCATAAAGCTCTGTGCATGTATGAGAGAGAGGCCCTGTAGGACCAAGGGTGAAAGTGTTTCTTTTTTTTTTTTTTCTGGAACACGAGTGCTTTAAGCGAGTAGTTTGTACAGTAGTAGGGCGTAGGGGTTTCATTTTGTGGGAAGAGAACAGTGTGGTCCATCTGCGATTATGTCATCACTAGCAGGGTACATCTGGAGGGTGGGAATTACTGTCAGTTCTTATTAGCAAGGCAGGGATATCTGGGCATTCTCTCCTCCATTGGGGACCATCATTCACAAGTTATCTGGGTTTCCTCTGGACTGCCCAGGCAGCTGTTCRGAACAAGACAACAGCTCATTCCAGACAACAACATATTAGAAAAAAAATAAAAAGTGGTAGCAGAAGCAGGCAGTAAATTACGCCCGTCAGCCGACTGGCAACTACTGCCAAAGCACAGGTGTCTGTGGGGGCTGCAGTTGGGGAGTTCAGCACTTCTTTATAGGCAGTTCATGGTGAGCAGCTGGTAATTTGCTGTGGGGCAAAAAGCGGCTCCTAGTCCCCATGCAGGCTTCGTTTGGCCCCACAGTACCCAGGGAATTAGCTTGCTGAAGATAAGGAAGACCTGCAACAACAGCATTGCTTGCCTTAAACCTCAGTGTTTTACTTTCTGTTCCCAAGACACTCTCCCTCRTTTCCTTCTTTGATTCCTCTCATTCTGCTCATCCTTCCCTTATGGAAAAACCGTAAGCTTTCCCAGACCCCACCTGCCCTTCATTCTGCTCAGGGAATCAATTCTCCCCATCAAGATTACATTTTGCTACTCTACAAAACTCCACTATTTTGTGCTTCACCCTGCTCTCATCCTCTGACCTATCTTGGCTGATAAGTAAGAACTTGGRTCAAAAGGAAGGTATGAGGACCCTGTCCAAGGCGTTCGCCTCCTCCAAAGGCCTCAAGTGCCACCAAACTGCACTGGGAACAGCAGAGCTGAGGCCCGTGGGCCTGGGCTGATGCAGACTGGCACCACGTGCTATTGCGGCCAGCTGGGAAGAAGAGCCAGGCCCAGGGAAGACGGACTTCAAAACCCAGAGCAAAACCCCACCGTGATCTCTCTTCCTGAAGACAGTGCATGTGTGGATATTTCCGGAACATTCCCGGGTGTTACGGAGGCTTCCTTCGGGAGCGCCCGCAGCTGAGGATGGGCGCAGGGCGCTGTAACTGCCCCCCATAAAACACCCTCGCCGGGCAATGCGGACAMGTGCGGGAAGGGGAGCAGCCCGCCATGCTCGGGAGAGGGGCCAGGCGGGTTCCTGGCTGCTGTGCGGGGCCCAGGGGCACCCGCATAACGTTCTGGAAGAGGAGGCCGGGCCGGGGCTCGGCGCCGTGGGGCGCGCGGGGCCGCCGTGGGGCGGGGGCGGCGCGGCGGGCGCG